AAAAAAAATATCGAAATTAATTTATATCTTCTGAACGGTAATAGATAGGTATAGGGAAATAGTATATGAATTTGTTGACAAAGTGATAATGAATCATAATATGATATTATATACGGGGTGTTTTATTTGAAAAATCAAAGAAGCCGCTACTTTATAGTAGAAGCGACAACGCCGCTTCGTCTAAAATATTTTAGGCGTGTAGGTCATATTGACTTATGCAAACTGTGGAATTTTCAGGTTGATCCGTTGAATAGTTTGTCAAAAACGCCTAATTAACGCTCATCATGAAAAGCCCTGTATAGTGGCTACCACATAAGAGGTGGATATATGCTAACGCGGACTTTTATTTGGCACAATCTTACGGTACATTATCTGCAAGTAACTCCAACGGTATAGGCAGCACACACCAAAATAGCTCTCAGGGAACAAACATTTTTCCGACTTACTTAATACTTATGACTAAAATTACACAAAACCTTTGTAAATTGTCGCCTATATGTTATTCTGATGTACAATCTGTATTTATGTATATTCATCTAAATCCGTTCAGTCATTTAGGCGTGAAAGAGCCACAAACATACGTAGGTACATACATACATCCATCCTCCCAAACTTTCACATTTATAATATTAGAATAGATGGATTCTAAAGGAAAGAAGAAAGCAATTAAGTTCAAGATTGGACCTGATAGCTTTCTTCTTTCACTTTTTGTGTATGAAAATAGAAAAGTGAAAGCCATAAAACTTCCTTTTCCCACAAGCTAATCTCCCCTAAAAATATACCTCTTCAAATTTGAACTTTTTAATGTTGAATACCAGTCGAATCGATACTTCGAAGACTTTGCTCTGTTGTTGAATTGAAATAATCTGAAGAAAATAAATCACTTTCGCCAACACAATCTCCCAACATGCACATTTGCAAGATATGAATTATAATTGGCGACAGATTCATAAGCTTTATCTTACCTTGATCAAGTCTTCTGATATCATCATATTTCTTCTGCAGTCCTGAAAATGCCTTCTTCTTCTTCTGTAAACCACTGTATACCCCATAACCGATTCTGGCTATAATATACAAAATCAATCCGGCGACAAAGTATTGCCAATAAAGTTCAAAAAACATTTCGAAATGAGAATGCAGACGTGAATGATAAGACCAGTGAGAGTTTATGTTTCTCTGGCGGATATTTTAATTATCGTGACCTAAATTGATGCAGCGCTACGCATACAACGAAAAGTGTATGTATACCAGTATCAAGTTAATGAAAATAGCACTGAAATTAGAAAACAGGCAACTGATGATTGAAATGGATTGAAAGGGAGGACTACGTGTTATACATATAACAAGGGTGAGAATCACGTGACGGGTGGGTTGAACTATAATGATAATTGATATCCTTATATTGTGGATATGCGTGCTTGCAATCGATTTTTCAGTAGGAAACACATCGATTGTACAGGAACGTGTGTTAAATGAATAAAATATTTCATAGAAACGTCAATGTTGTTTATTCTTGTGCTAGCATTATTTTCCAAATCATCACTACTTTTTCTGCTCTTTCAATTTTAAATAAACGAGGCCTGTTCAAAAAATAAGGTGAATTTTCATAAAAACAATATTCATTAATCAATTTCCATTTTGTCCGCTTCAAAGAAGTCCCCCTCAGATACACTTTTGCCAGCGTTTTTTTTCAATCCTTGAAGCAGTCGAGCAGAGAGTCAAATCTGGTGAATACGGTGGCTGAGGCATGATTACGGTGTTGTTTTTGGCCAAAAAATCACGAACATGCAATGATGAGTGAGCAGATGCATTATCGTGACGCAAAAGCCATGAATTGTTTTTCCACAATACCGGACGTGTAGCATCATGTTCCATGTTTAAAATTTTAATTTTTCATCTGACAGTTCTAATGTTCTGTGATGTTGATTCTGACAATACACAAACACATCGACTATCAGTAATAAAAGTGATTATTGCAATCAACCCAACCATACCACATTTAATGGCGACGAGGATAAACCAGTGAGATTTTAGAAGACAGATAAACATATTGTTACAACTTCGGTTTGGGGGTGACTCAGGGGTAGCCTTATGAGGGAAATACTATGAGGGAAACACCAGGATACTTAGATACTAGGTTTATTGCCTAGGAGTTGTACACGGGGTTCCTTCCCCAATCAGATTTTACTAACAACTGTCTTATTATAATACATCATCATCAAATATAATACATGTTGACATCATCAACTCTATCGAGTCGAGGAATCAGTTACCGCGGACCCCTCTCGCTCCTTACGCCTTGTGTTGGTCATAGTGACATTATGTCGCGTCGTTGCATCGATGCTAAATTAAGGGTAGAGGTGTGTTGAAAACGCTAGAAAAACTACTTGACAGGCATACCAGGGACATATCACTGGCTATCAGACCATTACATCGAGACCAATATGCATACAGGTCAGGTATGTCAACAGAAACGGCTCTATGTCGGGTAACAGAAAAAGTAGAATATACTTACAAAAACAAGGAAGTACTTTTAGCTGCTTTCTTGGACATTGAGGGAGCATTAGATAATACGTCGTTAGAATCAATCATCCAGACGCCTAGGGGAAGATTGGTATATACAACCATTATGGGGGAAACGGTCGTGGCACGGGTAGCAAGGGGCTGTCCTCAGGGGGGGTTCTATCCCCTCTGTTATAGAACCTTGTAATGGACGAGCTACTATGTCTCTAGGACCATAATGGGAATAAAGCACTGGGCTATGCAGACGACTTAGTCATCTTAGTCCAGGATAAATACAATAATGTAGTGAAGCGATGCATGCAGCAGGCCCCGAACATTATAACAAGATGGACCGACGAAGAAGGGCTTAACATAAGCCCATCCAAATCGACCATTCACCAAGAGGACTAAAACGGAAGTTCTCGGACCTCTGAAACTTCGAGGTGAAGAAATACAAGTGTCGGAGGAGGTTAAATATCTGGGAGTAATTCTAGATTCCTTGCTGACCTGGAACCAACACTTGGACAGGATAAAGAGGAAAGCGGAGGTAGCACTGATGCTCGCCAGACGCACCTATGGAAAAACATGAGGGCCTAAATCAGACATGGTATATTGGCTATACACGATGGTGGTTAAACCCATTATAACATACGCATCTCTGGTCTGGTGGCCAAAGATGAAGCAGGCGACCGCAATCAAAAAACTAGGCAAGGCGCAAAGACTTGCATGTTTGAGAATAACGGGAGCAATGAGAACTACCCCAACCCCTGCATTGGAGACACTCCTGAATCTACCTCCTTTACAATTTGTGATAATGGGGGAGGCCAGGATGCTAGATCCGTTAGATGCGGATCGTCAACTTCATATATAGGTCCTGAACCAGCTCTGTGGGTACTAAAATCATTGGTACCCACAGAGTAATAATGGTGATAATGATTTCTGGTACGTACATTCGAGTACGAATGACCTTTCCAATACGTTTTAAACCATCAAAAACCGCATGGGAGCTGACACCCAGTTCTTCCACCATCTCTCGCACTGTTTGTGATGGGTCAGTCCCCACCAGGGTCTTTATATCCCCGTCCTAGATCATTGTAGGTAGACCACTAACTTCGAACAGTACGTTCATCAACACTATCATTGCTAAATGCCTGGCAGCGCTTTGGTTCGATTTAAATTGGTTCAGAAAAATTTTGCCGAAAATCGTATATAGTCTACAGACAATCATAGCATGATAGAGGTTTTTTGTCAAAAATAATTTAGCAAGTCCTTTCAAGATTAACCTGTGGCAGGAGTCCATTATATCTCGAAATTGAACGTAGTAGATTTATGACACAATAACATTTTTGAAATCAACTCTGCTATTAATAACTCCAATGTTACCTCTCTTGATGAACAAGTACCTACAGTTTGATTGCAAAAAGTTTTTCAATTCCCTTGATTTTAACTAAATTTTTCCTGCCTTGATCTTCCATAAATCCTTATTTTATTCATTTTATTGGTATGGTTGTGCAGTTGTTTGGTGGTATACTCCAGTTGTTTGACACCTTTTCTTCATTCCATGTATGGGCGATAGATGTCTCGCATGGTAATGCTGATCGGGACAATTGTTCTTCCAACATTAATGATGTCACAGTTTACTTTTACAAACTAATGTAACAAGCTGGCTTGTATACCTGGTATGGGGTCAGTTTGCTCAGAACACAAGCTGAATGTGATGGTACTTCTTCTGTTGTGTTCTGTGTTTGCAGATCCCTTGTCACTGTTCCATGTCATCTTGACTTTATTTCTTATATATTTTTGACAGTTGATTCTCCTTTGCCATCCAATTCCGTTCGGATCTCTTTCATTAGAATTCGTTTTCAACAGTGAGAAATATTCTAAATCTAATTCTTCAGATGTAATATAAATGAATTTGGACTTGGGTAGAATGGAAACAGTAAATGAATTAAGCAAATTGGAATAATTTTTGTATTTTCTTTATACATACATATACAAGTAATACAATAATGAAAGAATTTTCATCTCAATTTCATTGAGAAAATAGATATGTCACTAGAGATTGTATAATAACTGTGAAATGTTGAAAATTGGTCGTTAGGTGGAGATATGAAATTGTCTGAGAATTCTTTCCAAATTATATATTGGGCCAAGCAACAATCATTTTTAAAGATTTTGATTTGAAAATGTTGATAATTCGTTTCTCGTATCTTATGATTTCGAATAAGGCATTTTTGTAAGTTCCCTGTCAATAGAACCAAAATGAAGCACAAATCTAATCAAATATGAAGAATCTAAATTATTTGATTTAGGTTTGGAGAAAACAAGGGAACGTGGTTAGGCATTTGTGGTATTAAAGTATGAAATTATATAGTATAAATACGTCACATCACACGAAATTAAACGAAAATAATATTTACAGTTATACCTAAATAGCTACAGTGAAAATAAATCTGGAACATATTTGCCGTCTCAACAAGCCACATATATAATGTATCAAGAACGGCTCCTAGCGATACTCCTCATTTTTGTACGACCCATAAAATTTTGACTTTTTCTCTTATAATTTTCCATCTCATCCATAGTTGATGAATTTATTTTATTCAACTTTTCATGATTAAGAAACCCCATTTCAAAGTTTGTTGTTGGAAATATCTATTACTATCATGGACTAGACTAGATGAATTGTCTGAATGTCCATTTTTGTCGTACGAAAAATATATATGGACTCAAAGCAAACGGAATTATTGTGTATAGAAAATGCTATTTGAGCATAAACCAAAATTAAGGCCGGACTAGATAATTAACTACAAAATTTTGACAGAATTTCATAAAACCAAAAAAATGAATACTGACCAATTCTACAAATATAAAAAGCTTTCTATATAAAATATTACAGGTAACTTAGAGTTATTTAAATTAGATTTATCAAACTGCCAATTCCTTGATTCGCTACATACATCGCTCAATAACTTAAGAAAATATATATGGCATCAGATTGTCCCGATTGATGAGAATCAAAAAATTAGCTTACATTCACAATATACTTCAAAGTTTATCATGCTTTGTCACTTTTAACAACTAAATCACAGATCCGACTCACTAAAAACTATAGCACCTTTAGTGTTGCTACTAGTTTTTAATACACTCAGATTTCCATGATAACAGAAGAGAATCGTTAAATGAACAAAATCTAAGGACTCATTATTTACAAAGGGGGGAGGTGTATAATGAAAATAAAAAATAGCTGTTTAGAAAATAAAGTTCATAATTTACTTAATCTAAACGAGTTAAAATACTTTGGTTTTTCTTGTTTTAAGTTACCCAGTGCGTGGAAGATATTCACTTGTACATTCTTTCGCAAACAACCTCACTGTCGGATGAAAAATAGGAAGAGTAACGCTATACATGAGACAGTAGCGGATGACGTCGTTGAACCACAACCACCATGTTGAGATGCTGCAACAAAATCCAATATTAGTAATCATATCCTACTTCGGAGGTACAAATATTTGTCAATAACAATGGTATCCTTATTATCACTTCAAAAGAAAGTAATTACATCAACATTTTAAGTTTAATTTAAAGCTATAAATGAAATATCATGAGATAAAATGGTACAGAGATGTGTTGTATTCATTTTTCTTTCAGAATGATCAAATTGCAGATCAGACATGATTCTGGATTTTTGACATAATCAGTGGGGTGAAACCAGTGCAAAATTGGGCAACTTTTGGTTCATGGTTAACAACACAAATACCCATCCATACTGAAGAGACAGAAACAATACAGATGACACTAGTATGTCAGACCATCACTACTATATATCAGTTCTAGTATATCAACAAGTTGATAATGACTCGGTGAAAAAAATAAGCTGTAACACTGGGATTTCGGTGCCAACATTTTCCGACAAAAACATATCAATTATAATGAAAAAAGTCATACTGATCCCAAATTAATCCGCAATCTATAAGTAGGAGAGGATACCAAAGAGTATTTAGTAAAAGTAATGTATAGACCACCAGAATGACCAGCAAAATTATCCTCAATGATCTCATTAAGTTTTTTCTTTCAGACCATTCTAAAATAACGACCCATTGAAGATATGACTGTTATTCTTTAAATCGTTGAAATTATCTCAACAGTAGAATTTTTGTCAAAGCCACAAATGGTTGAAAACTTGTTTTCAATTTATTTGTATTTTTTCACAACTATGATATATTGAGTGACTTCTTCAGCGAGAATCAAGTTAAATTTTGATGACAAACCTTAGTGGGGTTCAAATTTGAATTTGAAATCCTTTCGAATCCATAATAAAAATTTTGGAATGAATATAATATCAACAGTCAACATGTATTTCTTCAATATTTTTTTGTAATTTCAAGTCACAGGATTACTGTTTTTTCACTATAGACCGGAAACACTTTATTGTGAGATCCTCTCAAGTGTTTTCATGTTGAAAGTATGTATGTATGACAATGCTGGTTGCATTTTCCTTCTCTATGGGAAACGTTGGATTTAATAGATAGGCAACACAACATACACAAATTATAACAGTTGGGCTGAAAAGTTCTTATGCTAAAGTGAGAAGAAGAAAAATTGTTTGATAAAATTGGATTTTATTATTCAATGTAGTTGCCTTGGGGCGACACAACGATTATAGCGGTCATGAACTTTTTCGATATCGTTTTTATAGTGGGATTTGCCTTCAGCCTCAAAATAAGTAATTATTTTCTTTACGTCCGAGAACAGGAAAAAGTCGTTGGGGTCAGATCTGGAGAATACGGTGGATGCTGAAGCAATTTGAAGCCCAATTCATGCAATTTTAACATAGATTTCATCGATTCGTGGCACGATGTATTGACTTGATGAAACGCCCCAATAACGCTATGTTGTTGACGGTTTCCTCTTTTCAATATAGTCGATGAATATAGTATCATGCGCATCCCAAAATACTGATACCAGACCCAGGGCAAAGATATCAACCTGCCTAGGAACCTAGGCGACTGTATTTCAAGCGGAAATTTACGCTATTGAATTGTTTGCGGAGAGATTGATAGAATCCAACCTCATACACAAGTCAATAAAATATTCTCGGACAGTCAAGCGGCGTTGGAAGCTCTTTTGGCTTCTAGCAAGCAACGTCTAAATTGGTAGAAAATTGCCAAAAACGACTCTTCTCGATAGGAAGACTTAAAAGATTGTCTCTGGTCTGGATTCCTAGCCATACAGGCCTAGAAGGCAATGAGACTACTGATTTTCTTGCAAAGGAGGGTGCTGCAAGCAGCTTCATCGAACCAGATAATCGCTTTAGGCTTTCCCAAACGAACATTGAATACCTGGATGGCAAGAAGATTTATGGACTGGCAGAATCTTCTAGGATTGGCTCACTCCAAGGCATTTATTCACCCTTCGAAGCTTGATACCAAACAGTTGTTGGACTGCAGTAGGGATAAACTACGATGTCTAACAGGTCTTCTTACAGGCCACTATCATTTGAATCACCATATGCAGAGACTCGGAATGTCGGAAGACAGTGTGTGTCGCCTCTGTTTGAAAAATGATGAAACAGCAGAGCACATACTTTGTGCCTGCCCCGCTGGCACAGTACAGCTCGGCAGAGCTGTACTCTTACCATATGAACTGAAAGACCACTCACCATACAAACTAATCGGCTTCGTTGAGAAGGTAGGTTTATTTGGTCGAGTGTGAATAGGGGTGAGCCATAATAAACCCTTGCTGGTTGCGGTGGAGGGTCGAATAGACCCACTCACTTTGGACCTAACCTAACCATGACCTTGCCAGCCGACTATTGCGTCTTTGTACGCTTTGGAGTCGATTCACCACGTGCAGTCCACTCAGATGACGATTTTTTTATTCTGGTTTGAATTGATGGAGCCTTGTCCCATCCATTGTCATATATTGACGCATAATGCACAATATCAGTTTCCGAACGTTCATTAAACTGATCCGATGCCCGTGGTACCGTCGAATCCTTCGATACTACAGCATTGAAGGCGTTAGATGAGAATCTCATACTATGAGCGGTTTAACGTCCCCGGCAAGTCGGGTGGATCACGTGGTAAGAGAGCCTACTGGTTATATTATTCTACTGTGCTAGTGTGTTAGCATACCAACTTTTCAGACCACCTGAGATTGCCCACCTCCTGGAATGTAGCGTTCTGAAATTTTCTTACGGCGAAAAATACTTCCCTCAAAACACAGCAAAGAAAATTTCAAATAAAAGAGGGTGAAAAGATGGATACATTATCAAAGGTCTGCCGCTGGAGGGAAAATCATTCCTGTGTTGTATGACTTCATGGAAAATACTTAAAAAAATGTGTGAAAAATTATATAAATACCATAAACTGATTTTCATTTTTTGATATCCCAGTTTGAAAGAACTAATTTTTTATTGCCGGTAAACAAACCTGGTAATACTTTTTATTTGTGGTTTTGCAGCAATCTTAGTTAACAAATCACACACTAGAAAACATTTGAAGTGGTAAACGGAATTGAATGATAAAAAATAAAATGAAAAATACCTCCTACGGGTGCTTCGTTATGTTTGATCTCTTGATGCTGTGCGGGAATGGCCTCTGGTGTTGAAGCTAAGTGTTTTTCTGTGCAACAAAATTGAAAAAACAAAGATAAAATAAACGACAGAAAACAAAATAATCAATTAAATATAAAACATACAAATCAACTCAAACCAGTGTATTTATTGAAAACATTAGTTATAATGAAATTAGCATACAGACATTTGAAAAATAAATAGGTTCTCAAAATATGTTTCTTACCCTTAAATACAGCTTGTCAAATCTAGTAAGAGACTTGGGAGTGGTCACAACCTGCGCATTTACTACACTATATCGCAGTTTAGAAAGCTTTTCCATTTGATACGTTGGGCTGTTTAAAAAATATGGTGAATGACCATAATACATGACATGACTCATCGCGAAAGAATGCAGTCTGAAACCGCCGGGAAAATTCTAGGCGAGTTCAGAACAGACTACAGAATTCTACAAATGGACCTCTACCGATATATAAGGCCAGCTCCCGTCCAAAGAGGGCAGTTGAATTCAGAAAGTCAATCGAGCAGTTGAACAAGTAATTCAAATAGTGGAAATAAATTAAGCGTTAGTTGTTGTGAATAAATCAGTTTGTGATAGTGAAACATTGTTGGAAATAAATTTGTTTGAGACAGTTAATTCTTGAATTCATTACAATACATTCGATTAGCAATTGTTCATTTTTTTTATGTTTGTACACTCATCTATTTAGCATGTTTTGCGTGTTGCTGTCGAAAAAATTGAATTACGTGCTTAAAAGCATTTGAAATGTTGACAGTGGCATACGAAGATTGTACTCCGAGTCAGAAAAATGTTTACAAGTGGTACAAGATTTTCATTGAAGGTCGAGCAGATGTGAATGACGACGCTCGCCCTGGACGTCCCAGCACATCAACAACCGACGAAAATATTGAGAAAGTGAAGAAAATTGTTATGGAAAATCGTTGAATCACTATTAGAGATGTTGCTGAGGATGTTGGCGTATCGGTTGGCTCATGCCATGCAATTTCTTCGAAAATTTTGGGCATGAATCGTGTGGCAGCGTAGTTCGTTCCAAAATTGCTGAATGTTGACTAAAAAAACCGTCGCATGTGTATCGCTCAGGAATTGCTGAATGACATAAAAGGCGATCCAGATTTGCATTGAAAATGGCATAAATGGTGTCGAAATAATCATAGGTATATGGTTATGGCACCAAAACCAAAGCCCAAGAGAGCCAAGAAAGCATGCCAAGTTAAAAAAAAATGTCGAGATTTTGTTCACTGCTTTCTACGATAGTGCACCAGTAGTTCTTGCCACATGGTCGAATGGTCAATATAAGGAGTTATGCGTAATTCCTTGTTCGTGAGTTCATAGCCAAAAATAATCGTAAACATTCATCAGCCTTCGTATTCACCAGATTTCCAAGATTTAAAAGACCCACGAAACGACGGTGTTTTGGGATGATTGAGGACATGACAACTGAATCGGTGATAGAGCCCAAAAACACCAGAAAGTGATTATCAGTCGGACGGTAGCCGGTCGGTTCGACGTGGGTGCATTGTTCACTCACTCAAATCGACCGCCGTGTAGGTCGGTGGTTCAAGCCCCAGGCTGATAGATCGATATTCACTTGAATAACTTTTTTCGAGATCAATTGCCCTAACACCAAACTGATATTTTTGCACTCGACGCGCGTTTCGTCAACAAAGTTAGCATCCTCAGGAGAAGAGTGCGTGTCGAGTTCAAAAATATCAGTTTGATGTTAGGGCAATTGATCTTGAAAAAAGTTATTCAACTTTCACACCAAAGGTTCCAATCTCATCGATATTCACTTGCTATCGTCTAACCCGTGTTAGGAATCACATTTTAAAAGGTAAGACTTCGTTAGTCCTTAGCTCGCACAACTTTTGACTTCTGAGGGTTGTCTTTCGTAGGGGTGCGACAGCTGGTCAAGGAAAAAACAGATTTTAAACGGATTTCAAGTAATACTTCGAGGATAGGAAAGGAATATATATTTTTTGAAAAAAATGGAAATCCACCTTATTTTTTAACAGAGTAGTAGGTATGTACAGCTTCTTAAATGAAGGAAGAGTTTTTTTAATTTCGATGTGGAAACACTCAAGATAGTTAGAATTCTCAAGTCTCGTAGATTAGACAATCTATACTGATCCAGACTACACTCTTAACAGGGCTTGCTTTGATTCCAAAGGTGGTAATTTATATATTTCAGCAAGAATAATTGAAAAATGCACTTATCCTCGAACCATATTTAATTTTTGCAAATATCTGTATTATTACGTTCACTTGATAATAACTGCCATCTCTCAGGGTTGAAAACAGATTTTCCAATACCAGATAATATGAAAAAGTTAGTGAAATATATGACAATGCGTATCTGAATTATATAGGTAATATGAATGAAATTAATCAATTGCCTCCTTCCTTTCTTTGGAAGAGTCTCACTTTTTTTGTATAAAGATGGAGTAGTAGAAAGTAAAACCTTTCTGTTTCAAAAAATGTATCATTCCAAAAGATATAGGTCTTTCAATTTAAGTTGAAGGTCTCTGTCCACTATACCGTACCAAACCATGACCGTAAACGTACCGGCACATGCTGAAAAATATTCTTTCATAAAATTTATATGAACCAATGCCCACTAGACCGTTCCGTCCCCGGTCAGGCACGTAGCGTTGCATGTACGTGCCATCACAATATTCGAGTCGAGAATATTTTGCCGGTGCTGATATGCAACGTGCATGGCACGTATCGTTGCTAAACCGTAGGTTTCCGGTAGCGAAACGGTGTATAAACGGGTTGTAAATCATTTTCAATTTTATTTAGCAATACATTCCATTGAAATGTAGACATTAAAAAATACTGAAAAAAAAATTCCTCATCATCAACTAAATGTCTAAATAATGTCCAATATTCTCCTCCACTTTCTCGTTATCTTGAAGAGTCGTGAATCCAATAGCAACGGGTCTTTCTTGAGTTTCTGCTTCCTCATCATCCAAAATAATAGGTACCAATACCAATTGTCGAGCAGATAATCTCATAGCCATATTCGTTCTTCGTGGTAAACTCTTCTACACGTTCACACTACACTGATGAGTAAGCCGGATTAACATACAATACTTCACATTATTTACAGTTGTCAAAAGGGTATCTAACGGTCATCATACCCGTATAATACGGTCATTATACGTGCAAGGTAGACCGTGTCATGTTATTTTCCATGTCTGATACGGTCCTAGCACGGCCATGGTTGGTACGGTATAGTGGTCAGAGACTTTAAAAGTCTCTTTCACTTATGAAGGTACTGAAAAAATATTATAAAACAAAAACAAAACAATAAGAAATCTGATTTCAAAAAATATTTTTTATAATAACAAACTGAATTCTTCCCGTAGCAGACTGAGTTGATTTAGTCTCATTTGTGAAAAAAGTTGTTATACAAAATTTTACTGAGAGAAGATTGAAGATACGCATAATCACAAATTGGAAATTAATCTGACAATAAGTAAAATGATATAAATGTATTCAACATCAAAAGTAAGTGGGGTTTGTACCTTTTTGTTCTTTCTCTTTGTGGTGTTTTTTGTGGTGAGGTTTATGAGATGAACCATGTTTAGCCAAAACTGTGCAAAAGCAAAAAAATATATGTAAATGAAACTGCAAACAAGATTAGTATATCATTCAAAGCAAAAAGCGTCAAGTAGTTGGACTGAAGTAGCTTACCTCCCTCGAAGGGCATGATGTCTGAGAATTCTGACCATCCATGGTTATTTTTCGATCGCATCCTCGTTTCGTAGTTGCCAGCTTCCAAGTCTTTAAGGGTGTATGTTACCAAGTAGATATTGTTAACGTGATTACTGACTTCTGGTTTCGCAGTGCTCCATTTTGCTTCCTACAACATGAATGGAATTTGTACAATATTGACATTTATTCTTACAGAAAAATGATAAAAAAATCTGTTGAAAAAGTCTGTGAACCAGCTCTAGCCCCCCTACGAACAATAATTTTCTGAAGTCGGAACTTGCGCGGTCTAACAAGGTCCTTCCTTTCAACGTGCAATTCCTAGTATGGGTTGGACGATAAGAAGTAAAACGTATTTAAAAAACGCATTGAAAACATGTGTTTAAAAACAAAGAATTTGGCGTAGTCTACAGAACAAATGTTCACAACACAACAAAAAAATATTTTTTGAAGGTTTCCTACACTAAATTAGTCAATTTCTACTAATTTTGGGGTGATAAAAACGAAAATAACAAAGAAAAATTTTTATTAGCTCTGGTTTTTGAGATACACAGTACTTAATCTTAAAGGGTAGTTATAGTATACGTGAAAAGTGAAAGTACATAAAACAATATTGTTATGTTTCTTTTAGAATATTTTAAGTACAAAATTAATGAGAAAAAACATTATTCTTAGTGTTTTGACAAATAAAAGAAGTTTGTACCACCAAATTTCAATTAAGTCCATCCGATTCATTGTAAGATCGCTGTCGTTTAGCTTGTCTTCTATAAATGGTGATGAAATATTTCATTTGTTGAAAACTCAATATACATATATATAATATAATGATACTATATCTTGAAAACAAGAGCTAATATATAATTTTTATGGTCACTTTCGGTTTTAATACGTGGAAATACATTAAAATCATCTAATTTCAAACCCGAAACAAAAACTTTGTTGTGTTGTGATAATTTGAGTAAATTTATTAAAAACAATGAAGATAAAATTCCAGTATCGGATAGATAGCGACTATATAAGTTGACTTGCTATTCTTGTCTAAAATTTCATATTTGCCAAGCCGGAAGAACTTTCTCCAAAATAATAAAAGAGCATAGAAGTAGTGAAACGACCAATTCAACATTTGCATACCATCTTTTGACAGAAGAGCACGAGTTCAATCACGTATGACGTATTGTATTTGGAGGAGGAAGGTTCAAAACTCAACCTTTTGGAATGCTTAGAAATCGATAGATTTGAGAATTCGGGATTTCTGCTCAATGACCGAATAAATTCGAATTACTCCCCTTTGTTGAATTTAGGTTACAACGAGGAAATTGGTAACTAGAACAGATCTTAAAAGTAGGTTAAATGAGGTCCCAGTTAAAACTTGCATTCATTATTCTCCAGTTTAATAAGTTGTTACTAGAACAGTACAAATTTTATGTAATGAATTTATCATGTAGAAATTTGCCAGGCTGTAACAGTCATTAGGATTGAAATTATTATGAAAGCATGACACAGAATTTATTTAGTCAGTATTGTGACGCCAGAAGATGCTATTGTATAGGGAAACACGTGTATTTTTTGAATACGTTCCAGTGTCGGCTTAAGCAGCGAGGGGTCTGTAGCAAATTCTGTCAGGAGGCCTTTGGTTTGCTGGTTCTCAAGTTGGGGGTAATAAATAAAACAAAACTGTTGCAAATAAACTTTTCTGGATTTAATATGAGTAAATTCAGAGATGACACTTTCATATATTGACTTCTTTGGGCAAATCATTTTCTATATTCATCAAAGCGATATGATTAGGACGTTCTTGGCCCATCGTGTTTCAACTTAACGTTGAAAAATAACGTTCGCCACTGCAGTTAGTGATCATGAGAGACAAGTAAATACGAAAGGCATTTCTACGTTTGAGAAACATGATTCTAAGGAATTATTTGATGAAAGTTTATAAAACTGCAGTTCCAGAAGCTCTTGTTTCTTGCTGTCAATAAAAGTAGCCACATCTGTTTTTAGCAGTTCAACGAACTGCACTAAATCGTCGTCCAGGGTGTTTTCCAAATCGTCTTCGTGAGCACTGATCATACTTGAGGCCTTTTTCAAAATCTCTTCTGTTGTAAGGGATTTTAGCTGTCGAAATACTCCAAAATCATAAGAATTTTTTTCATTTTCAACAAAGTCATCTACTGGAGTAGAACCGGTGAAATGGTAGTACTCTGTATTCTGCTTGCATCGTCTTGAAGTCTGGTACTGATATTCTTCATAGCCGCTCAGATCTTTGACTTTTACAACGTACAACATTTTATTATTGTTTGATAGTCGATAGAATCCTGTTTTATTTGATCGGGTTGTTACGACTAGCTCGTTCGATGACAATATCAGGGAATCCCCCTTTTAGTTTTGCAGTGCTGCCAACTTGCGTGTAGTGCAGTGCAAGTAGAACAACGCATAACTTTTGGTGTAGGCAGCGCTCAATTTTGGAAATGCGGTAAAATTTTAAATCATTGTTGTATATTTTGATACCAACGTTTCTTGTGGTAGGTACTATACCTACAATGAAACATTTTGCTCTAAATTAAAAGGCAAAGTACCGTCACTATAGTCCGTTCATAATTTGTTGATAGCTCACTGCAAGTTTGACCCTCATTAGAGAACTGAAATACAGAGAGGACAGCTAATATGATATAATAACAAAAACCAAACTAAAACTGGCAGTTTAAGATGTTTTCGACTAACCCACCTTGTATCTGAAGAAATACAATACAGCTATAAAACTTTTAATCCGATTATGTAGGTATTTTGAGTGGAAATGAGTGACCAGTGTCGTAGAGTATATGATTAAAACATTAGTTACTTTAAATAAATAAATATATTAATATTCTTAAACTGTAGGTACTGTAAACTGTATTTTTATTTANAGGTACGTATATGTTTGTAGGAATATGAAAAAAAGTTACTCACGCACTGCACAAAATTCGCAAAATAAATATTAGAGACGTTAATTACTGCCGTAGACGCCGAAACACCAACGAGCCGTAAATTAAATGCGATTAAAAAATGTACTAAACCAAAAATTATTTTCGTTCGTAACAACTTCACCCTTTCAAGGCAAGTTTCGAATATAAACTGAAGCTTTATATTTAATGAATAAACACCTCAGGAACCTCCGCCTATGATTTTACGAGTTTTACGACCGTTTTATGACTTGGGCCCTCATTTTGTGCTATCGACAAATTATGAACGGACTGTAGTTCTCAATAATCTCCAAACATGATCGATATAATAACCGATTCAAAAAAAAAGTACGCTATATTCATTCACGAAATTATTCTATATTTCATAATAAATCAAGTAACCAGAGATCATGACTGAGAGAAAGTTCGTCTTTTTCTCGAAATAAATTAGATATTATATACTTCTTTAAGTACAAATATTTCGAGGGTGTGTTCGGGCTATGAAACTGAACAACTCTTGTCAAGAAACATAGGTCGCAAAATTTTGGTCTTTCCATAGGAAATTAATCAGCTAATCGGAAATTTTGTATGGGAGACCAAAAATTCGTTTCAATTTTTCGACATAAGTTCATTGTGAAAAGTTGTTCAGTTTCATGGCGCGAACACGCCTTTAAAATATTTACGCGTAAAAAAATATTACTTCATATAGTAATCGATTATAATTAAACCGAAAAGTACTGATACGCAATTTTCAAAGGGGATCTGCTCAAGAGTATTACGGAAAAAATATTTATTCGGAGTTCTAGCGTTTCCAACACCGTGAATATCAAGACATTAACGTTAAAAGTTAGTAAAATTAACTATTTTTATATGAACGTGTTAATTTATAGACTCAAAAACGTGACAATTGATTAATGTTCTATCTATTAAATATATTTTCATACAAAATGAATATAAACGATTAATGTCAGATAAGATTTTACGTGACGAAATCTAGTTATAGATTTTCAGGTGGCAGTGAAGTATAGCCTAGCAAAATACTTTTACACTCTTATTTAAATTGATATGTTTTACGGTCAGACAGGTGTTGGACCGCGGGGCCCCTCGAGTCGCGGGGCCCGTAGAATTTGTTACTTTTGCTACGTTGCTAATCCGGCACTGGTCAGTTCTATCACATTTTTGTGTGCTTTGAACTTGTTCAACAAAAATTTGAGTTTATTACTAACGTGCCAACCAGCTCGTGCATTGGAGAACAGGGGAGGCTAAAGTCATAAAGTGCATGAGGACTTTATTTCAGTCTGTAAACCATTTAGGTAAACCATAGGTTTGCGCATTTAACTTTTGCCTAAAATTATAGGTTTCATACGTACGAATTAAAAAATTAAACAAATCGTCAGCTGTGCGCCCTGATGAAACATCATGAAAACCCATAAAACGTTCTACCACATTACTATCTTTGACATATCTAAAAACGATTGAAAGTTGTGATGTACAGGTAATATCGGTAGTTTCATCAATTTCCCATGCAAAAAAAGAAACACTTTCAGTCTCCTTGCTTATATTTTCCTTAATAATATATGCCACACTGTCTATAAGTTGATTTTGGATGGTTTTTGAGGTGCAGGAAAAAACGCTACCGTTTAAAAAAGTGCCAAATTGTGAATCATATTTTCCCCATATCAATAAAAGTTTCTTGTTATTGCCGCGATTAATCGAATCTTCGGTTTCATCGTGTCCACGAAAAGCTGATTCTTGCGAACCCAAATAAATCGTAATATCGATAATTATTTTTAAATTTGACCGATTTTCCCTAACCTGATTATTAGAAGAAATTATGGCCTCTTTTTGAGCTGTATCTAAAGCTGTTGCTATATTTTGTTTGCTAAACAATTTCAATTGTAGAATGAGGTAAATTTTTTAAATCAGAGTATCCTATTTAAGATCACGTTTGGTATTCGTTTTGTACGGAAAATAAAACACAGGGCCAACAAAAAAGTTTTTCTCGTTTAATGGAGCCAATCGCATTTATTGTACCAACTAATATTAAATTCTCGATTATGTCGATTATCTGACGTTTTAATTGAAATCGAATTTGGTTGAGGCCTTCCCAGAGTTTTATAAGTCTTTATCTTATTATCATAAGATAAAGACTTAAAATTATTTGCCAGCAACCAATCGACTATATCGTCAGATTTTTTAATTTCGTCGAACTTATCCATATTAATGAAAAGAAAACTTACCGAAAAGTGAAAACCTGAAAACACCTTGAAATTGAAAGAAAACTCTTTAAAAACACATTAAAATATTACCAAAAGGCACTGCTATTATACAATACCGCCTGTTATGTACACAAATAACAAATATTATCAAGAAACACTAAAACGATTTACCGAAATATTTTTCAGTCCCGGTCCGTCACGGCATCCCGTCTGAATAAATAAATAAAAAACAAACGCAGTTAGAAAAAGAAATCATAATTATTTGTCAACATCTTTTAATTTATTGCGATGAATAGCCTCAAATTTTATGGGGAAGCTAAGCCTCCCTTGCCTCCTCTGACGAGCCGCCGCTGGTGCCAACTGTTTAAAGGTATTTCTTCAGACGCAAATAGCCATAAGGTCGGCGCAATTATTCGCGAAAAAACGGACAATAAAAGACATGACATCATTTTTATATGGGCCATATTTTTATATGATATATATCACGAAGTTTTTGGCTTCAGTAGAAAACTAAAAAAAAATCAAACTCCTTAGACAACACTCAAATGTTAAAATGAATGAAAGCTTGATCACCAACTTGGGCACTGCGACCGTTACCACATCACCGTTGATAATGTTTACCGCAGTAGTAGACGACACGTCAGTCATGAAGACCTGCAGACTACGGCCAAAAAAAACAGAAAATAGGTTTCACACAGTTATGTCCGGCCTTGATCACACCTTCAGTTGATTCAATGTCTGGCAAAAAAATACTAACCCCCTTTTTCCTGTACTGTATCTCGTGCATCGAGATCGGAGTCTTGGACTCCACCCTCCACGTCAAAACAACGTCCTTGTTGTCTTTTTCGGGCTTCACAAACTCTCGAACGGCCGGTGTCCTCACCAAACTGACTTTCTTCTCCTGCTTTCCTTTACTATTTTTCGCAAGGCAAGTGTACGTTCCGAAAGAATCGTCATTCAAGTTGCGGATGGTTAAGATGCTCTCGTGCACCAACTCTCGTCTGACCAGTTTGACGGCATACTGGGAATTTGTTACTAGGTTTTCGCCATTTCTTTTCCAAACGATGTGGGCAGCGGGGTATGCGTCTACTGTGCAGGTTAGTTCCGCTTCTTCTCCTTTATCAGAAGTGACTATGTATTTTTCGGTTTTGACGATAGGCGCATCTGAAACATAATATTCGTTAAGTAGTCCAGTGCAGATAATTTTTTGAACCAAAAAAATTGTAGTAGGATGAAACTCATTGAAAAAGGAAGAAAATATAAGAAGAATTGAAGGAACATATAATCATTAATCAACAACATGGATTCAGTCGTGGTAGATCTACCAGCACAAATCTGATCATTTATCAACACTGTATAATAAACGCCTTCGAAAATAGACAACACGTGGATTCTATCAACACAGATTTTTCAAAGGCATTTGACCGAGTAAACCACAATTTGTTGTTGCATAAACTAAACGCTTTGGGTATTCAAGAAAACATTCTGAAATGGATTGAAAATTATCTAGCCTGCAGAGTACAATTTGTAAAATATGGTAACTCAGTATCTTCCTCAATTACAGGTTCATCGGGTGTACCACAGGGTTCTCATTTAGGGCCATTGTTTTTCAACCTATTTGTAAATGACTTGAAAGATGTCATTCTTTATAGTGAATTTCTTTTGTTTGCTGATGATCTGAAGATGTTTGAAGTTATTCATGACTCAAGTGATACATAATTATTACAGTACGATTTATCTAACTTTGTTTGCTGGTGTGATATAAATCTACTGCAATTAAGTATGGACGAATGTCAAAAATTTACTTTTTTCCGGCCATATAAAATCAATCAATCAGAACCGAAAACAACAACCACAATCAGAGATTTAGGAATCATTCTCGACCCAAAAATGTCATTTGAAGCTCATATTGCAAATATTACTTCTAAAGCACTAAAAATGTTGGGTTTCATTCTTAGATCTGCAAATAAATTATCTCTCACTTCAATAAAAATCATATATTGTTCAATTGTTAGATCAATAATCGAATACAATTCCACAATTTGGTGCCTTTCATATCATGTGGATATTGATATGCTTGAAAGTATTCAAAATACATTTTTAAGGTACTCTGCATATAAACTGGGTTATCATATTGGTGAATATGACTATAACATTATATTGGCATTCTTAACTTGAATTCTCTGGCTCATAGAAGATTAGAATCAGATCTTACACTTATTCATGATGGTAGCATCAATTCCCCGGAAATCTTCAAAGTATCCTTTTGTCGCACCAACTATGACCGAAATGAATCTGTAGGTAGAATTTTGAGACTTGCAAATACATACAATGTAGATTTAGAATTTTTTAATTATTCTTTGGAAACATTTAAAAAGACTAAGAAGATTCTGATTCATTAACTTATTTTTACGATTTATTTTAATTTCATTTCATATATGTTTTCCTTCAACCTAGCTTAGACTACTATTATATACATATGTTTGAACTTGTTAATTATTTTGCAAAAAAATGGGTATTGCCGTTTATAAATAAATAAATAAATAGTTTATGGGAGATCTGAGGTCGGGCAGTGGAAGGGGGTGAGTTTTTAAGGGTAAAAAACGGTTTATCGCGCTTCCAGCAAAGTTATAGGTAATGAAAAGATCTACAACTTTTGTATCCACAATTTTTTGACCTAACCTAAAAAATTTATGAAAAAAATTCAAATAACGTTTCCATGTCCCAAAAACACTGTAATTTTTTGGATTCAAATATTAATTTTTTACACTTATTTTGATTAAGTATCGAAAAAGCACAGCAGGAAAACCCGGAAAAACCTGCAGCACCACATCCTCTGAAGATCTTGATCTACCAATGTCCTCTCTCTCTCATAAAACAAAATGTATGGTGTCTCCAATAGATTCTAATTGAATGTATGTCATATAAAATCAAAATATTCATGTAAATGTTAGGCATTTCAATTTTCAAAAATTATGCTTGAAATTGTACGATTGAATTTAAATACTTTATAATAAAAAAAATATATAACCCCTCTAATTTAAATACTTTTAAAAACATTGATCTTGTTATTTATTCATACCTTATCTTGAATTCTAACCACTTATCAAAATTTACTCGTAAAATAATACATTTTCAATTCGATCAGAGACGTTATTCTGAATTTGAATGAAATCGAAAAGTATACGACTTTAGTCATTTACGTACTCAAACATATTGTGTTCTTGCTGAAATTTCTCGTTATATAGGTTATAATACAATGTATTTCATTCATATATCTATGCATTCAGCTGGGAATATTTCAGGAAACAATCATTACGAATACCACTCACTAGACCTAAACATTTTCGTGAGAAAATGAAATTACTAATGAAATTTCGGAAAGTCCATGGAATATCATATGAGTAAATTCAGGCATATACATTTGCAAGTTGAATATAAAAACTTGTAATAAAAAAGACTTACGTTCAACGTGTATCTCAATATGATGATGGCTGGGTTTTGTAACTTTGTTATCGGCCAAACACCTGTAAATTCCTCCATTCTCCACTTTCAGGTCAGGTATTGTAAGCGTCTCCCCGTGTATGTCGAGTCTCTCGTTGCCCAGATGCCATGAAATGTCAGGTTTAGGATAACCAGTCGCCTTGCATGTCAGATTCAGCGTTTCTCCGAGTTGATACTGAAATAATGAAAATAACATATCTTTGTTTGAAGGTGGTTGACAATGTTTCATTGTGAATTTCATTAGTTCGGACTTCCTTCCAACTGAAGGACGAATTCGTTACGCAAGATGGGGAACTGCCAATGGGATCGCCACTTTCACCAGTTATGGAGTGGTTTGAAACTCTGATCATTGAAAAAGCCCAAAAGAAGCCCCGAATCTGGTTGAGATACGTTGACACCTTCGTGATATAGATAGATAGATAGGTAGTTCTTTATTTCCAACAGGTATAAGTACACCCAATAACAGGAAGCGTATAAACTGGATAAATGTAAATTTAAAAAAAAAAAATTAAATGTGATAGAAATGTACATTCACATGTGTGTGTTAGCAGGATTAGATACTACAGAAGAGAAACAAAAAAGTTACATATTGTAAGTAAATGTCATAATACAATTTATTATAATAGATAATAGAGATATATTAATATCACATGAACCACATATCAGATTGAAATAATTGCAAATGATTGAATGGGAATACAAAACTAGACACTGAAGCACATCAACAGCGTTGAACCTTCCATCATAATGGAGAAGAAAATCCACAACGAATTGCCATTCTTAGACGTATTGGTAACGAGGATCCACACCAGGTGGAAACATCTGTATACCGAAAACCCACTCGAACGGGGCAGTATCTGAATCACAAATCCAATCATCATCAATCTACCAAAAAAGGATTCATTAAGACTCTAGTAGACCGTGCATTCAGGCTCTGTAATACGAAGGAAGACCTCCAGAACGAACTAGGTATCATTAAAAAAGTTCTACAACGGAGTGGTTACCCCGACGTGATGATGAAACAGACTTTGGCTAGAAGACAGCAAAAGCCTCACAAGGAAGAGACGCCGCCAAACCCAGTGCTTGCACTTCCTTACATCAGAGGATTGTCGGAAAGGATAAGAAGAATTGGGTCCAAGTATAACATCAGAACCTGCTTCAGATCCACAACAGCCTCACGAAAACGAGGCCTCCAAACGCGGACTGCGATCCCAAGAGTGGCATTTACCGGATCCCCTGTAAGCGCGACAAATCCTATATCGGTCAAACTGAGAGGCCAATGCATTGCCGGGCACAAGAAACACACATAAAGCGAGTACAAACTAGCAGATCGGGAATAGCAGAGCATGTTTTGACTAATCAACATAACATTAAGTGGTACCAAGTTGAGATCATCATAGAGAGGAACACTGGTTTAGGAGGAAATTCAAAGATGCTGTGTATATGTTGTCCAACGACGCATTTTCTTCATATTGCTCATCGCAAGCGACGCATAACTTCAAGATAATACTTCTTATTGACCGTACGACTATTTGGCGAGAACTCCTGATGCACTACGCCACGATAATTGAAGAAAACACTGAGCAAAACCTTGATATTGGGCGTGCTTTTTTTGGTCTTGGCTCTCTTGGGTACTTCCATTGAGATATGTCAGCAATTTCTCTATTAGTGACGCGAAATCTTCGATCCATGTATCATAGAACAAAATTATTTAAAATTTTCAAACAACAACGTAACATTTCTTTTTCGTGCGTGCAGTCGATAAAACGCAATTCCCAATTAAATAACACAATAGTTCGTTGCGGAAATGTATGACATAACATCAAAATGTTTATTTTCATCATCAAGCCAGCTGCAAAAAAGTTTCCCGTCACCTAATGACACATTTCCTACTGTATCTAAAATTGAACGGGGGCCTTGCGTTTCTTTTTCAAAGGTCCTTGACATGGAATACTTGTTTAGGTATGCATGAATATCTTTTCAATCATTAGCTTACGAAATCTTACTACCTGCGTATCGAAACGTATGTTGAGTCGAAGTTAGAAGCAAAAGTTAATCGCTCGAGGCGCCTGTAATTAATATATTCCATGCTAATTTCCATTCATATCAATTCTTGACTACGTACCGTGACTAACGAACGGCGCATGCATCACATTCGAAAATTGTTCGGCGGACGTGGTATTTTCCATTGATAAGATATTCGAGTGAGGTTAAATAGTCTTCAAATACCTAAACGTAGTGGTATGTCAAAAAAGAGTAGGGCTTTCGTTACCTAATGATAATGATAATAACATCTTCACTTTCAGAAAGGGTGTATTTCAGGGCGATTCCCTCAGTTCCCTCTTCTTCTGCATCTCACCATTATCCGTTGCGCTCAGAAATACTCGTTGGTATAACTGTGGCGGCACCTTTATTCGCGCCGGTATCCAGGCCGGGGTGGTTCCGATGACCACGTAAAGGGACCTTGTATGTGAAGTCAAAAATCCGAAGGTTTCCTGAAGAGAAGGCGATCCATACATATACCGGGTGTCCCACATTTTATGTGACAGGCAATATCTGGTTTGTTGAAGGAGATACACAAAAATGTATCATACAAAAGTTTTAGGAGTTCATGAGAGCTATATTTTGATATATAATTTTTAAATATACAGGGTGTTTGGTGTAGGTGCTACAGACCAAAATTCCATTTTTTAAAATAGAACGCCCTGTATATCATTACATATTCAGATGCTACATTAAATTATGATATCATTTCATGTTTGGTTTTTGAAATTCGGTTACGGCGTTGTTGAGTTATTGCTTAAAATGTAAAGTCTTGAGAACGACTATTATTTTTAAAAATATCTCATACAATTATTCTCTCTGCATCAGATCACATGAAAATTAGTCAAAATTTTGGGTGTTCGAAGTAATGGTTTCAATTTTGAGTTGTGGAATTCAGTCAGGAATCATTTTGAATATGAAACAATTGCAAAATTGAAAGAGGTGTATTCGAAAACAAATCTTTAATTAATAACAATGTAAATAATATAACTTGATAAATCATTTCATAAGAATGGTAGGTACCTAGAAATAAGTCATAAAAATTGTTTTCCAGACAGACGGAATGGGTCTGTCTGGAAAACGTTCTTGGTAAGACGTTGTGCTTGACGGCAGTTTTTCTGACATTCCCCAAAAATTAATAACATATCAATGCAATCACTTGGACTAAACGCGAAAGGCATACTGGAGTTTTCGCACAAAGAACACAGTTACTGTTTTGCAAAGAATCACTGAATCGAACTGACAAGTAGATACAGTTCAACAACATTTGTTACTATGGCATCAACAAGCATAAGCTACTTGATGAAATTGTGCAATATAAAGCAATTCACCCTCAAGTTAGTCACATTCTCAAGAATTTCAATATTATATTCAATTGATATCGATATCGTATCGTAGATGTGAGAATAATGGTTTGTATTCAGTAGTAGTCTAGTTCAATTTAATAAAAGATATAGACTGGATTCGTGTACGAGTAAATAAGTTTTTTTGAAACTGTATATTTAAGGAAAAGTGCAATAACTCCACAACGCCGTAACCGAATTTCAAAAACCATACATGAAATGATATCGGAATTTAACGTAGCATCTGAATATGTAATGATATACAGGGCGTTCTATTTTAAAAAATGGAATTTTGGTCTGTAGCACCTACACCAAACACCCTGTATATTTAAAAATTATATCAAAATATAGCTAAAACTTTTGTATGAAACATTTTTGTGTATCTCCTTCAACAAACCAGATATTGCCTGTCACATAAAATGTGGGACACCCGGTATATATGTTAAAAAACTAAAAGGTCTTCTGAGCAGGAGGCGATAATAAAAAGTACTGTGTTTTATTATAAAAAGAGTGACAAAAAAGGGGTGGCAGCACTGCTTCGAACAAGACCGCTGCGCCCCCTCGACGAAGCTACTGTTAATTTGATAGGAGAAGTCTGGACAAATGCGCCCGACTGGGAAGCAACGTCCATTAACTTAGAGAAAGAGAACTGTGGCACCCCCGGAAACCGGAGACACCAGGTCACCCATTTGTTTTATATGGATGATCCTAAACTTTATGCCTTTGGAGAAAAGGACCTCCATCAGTTCTTGGGGGTGGTAGAAAATTAAACTCATGCTATCGGTATGAAGTTTGGGATAGACAAATGCGCATTGGTCCATCTCAAAAGAGAACGATGCGGGAACTACGGGGAGGATGTGCAGATCGTAAATGGAAGCATCCTGCATCATCTGGATGTCGGAGAGACGTATCCTTACCTGGGGGTGGAACAACGTCACTCACAAGAGGTAACAACAGTGAAGAACTCTCTCCGCGGCAAGTATCAGCACAAACTTTGACAGATCTGGTCATCCGCAACAAATATGCTCGCCGTTCCAATTTTATTCTACTCGTTTGGAGCAGAGTATGAGCTGTATCAATTTGACGTGAAGACCCGAAAAATAATGCAACTCCATAGAAGTTTACATCCCAAATCATCGGTTTCACGGTTGTACTTCCCTCGACAACAGGGAGGCCGTGGACTTTCGAGTTTGGAGTGTCTACATGATAAAATGGTACTGGATGGAGCCTGTGAAGTCGTCAGGAGTTCGGATTCACTTCGGAAGCCCGAAGAGTGCTTTATTATCACCTACGGCACTCTTACGGTATTGACAAGACACCGGTGTTGCTTACGCTCCGGGGAATATTCAAGATGAAATATAGGGGAGTGAGAGATAAAATATTATTGACAGTCTTACAATTCCTGATAATAGAACTATGAGATCGACAAGCAGAGTTAACAAAAAAATGTATGTGATTATTAAAAGTTGATAGTCAGAATAGACAAAGTCCATCCGAATGTTATTTGGAAATCTCAATATCTCAATCGAAACTTTATGGGTATAATAAGACATTTTTAAGTAGAATCGATATATTATTCTGAAGAAAATCGGGTTACTCAAATGTTGGCTCTGTGGTCAAGGCACGATAGATTTCAACAATGAAATCCTATGGTTCAAAAATACGAGTTTAGTCATTTACGTACTATGTTCATGTGACTTCAATAATTGTAATCTCGAACAAATGTTGTTGAAATTGCTCGTTATAATGGTGATAAAATTGATTTAATTTCAGAATTGATTTTGTTCTTATATCGATGCATTCAGCTGATAATATTTCAGGAAATAATCTTCAAGAATATCCTTCGATTTGAAAATTTTCTCAGATAAATGTTGAATTTTTGGACTCAAACTTTGTTATTTTTGAGCAATATCAACCGATCAATCAGCAATAGATGAAACCACGAGTCCGCGGACGCTGGTTGGCTATCATGGTATTGCCTAATGATGGAGTTATCGATGAAACATGGAAATGTATCGATACAATTTTGAAGTCTTGTGCTTTTTACCATGAAAGTTGCGTGGTTATCTCAGGAAGTGAAGATGGAACTGACACTGTCGGCAACGACTCTTTTTGAATCTCATTAAATTCGATTCAATTTATCATAACACTGATTCATGAAACATATTCCGCCACGTTAACGGAAATATTTCAAATATTCTGCACAATCAGTCGTTTCGTGTCATACCAAGAAAAAAAAACAATACAGTTACATCAGTATATGAGTATATGAGCATTTGAAAAGACCTTGACACGTAATGTTTGTGTTTGTAATAATCAGCATAAATTATTGTCGCTTGTGAAGTTAGAATTTCACTTCCTTCTGAGGCAACAATTCTATTGAATTGACTTTCTCAGTTAGACTATCTAATTGTACCTACATCACTGCCGATAAGGAAAAAATATATCAGACTGAACGTTTCTGAAAACCTAATTTTCTCGACCCTTCCAACATTGTTATTTCGAAAAATGTTCAGTGGGAATGTTCCTCAATTTGGGTTATTACAGCAAATGCAAGGTTGAACAAAATGAAGTTGAGTTTAACTCATGAATTTTTCAAATTCACTTCGAAAAGTATTCAAATTGATGTTTCAACTGTTGGGTTTTAATATTTATTGATTCATATATTGGCAACAGCGCCTATATCAAGTTGAAATAATTTATACGTACTTAGATATTCTATAAATCAACAATTGAGGCAAAATATAAATTATAGTTCAATACCACTTCCACAAGCCACATAAACAACAGTTGTTTTGTTATTCAGTTATATAGAGGAAGATAGGTTAGGTGCACAAAATGTCATATATGTCACAGCTATAACCGATGTTGCCAAATGGTGAAATAGAAACGAATCCCTTTAAATGCTGAATGCATTATTTCATTCCTCTTTTTTAGGTATTTGAATAATTTTTTGAAGAAAAAGGTTGAATTAATAAGTTTAAAATGCGTTGTTTTAGAGCTCTTTTATGAAAACTACTTGATTTTCGTCAGGAGGAACATTCCCTATTATATTTGACCACTGCTAACCATTCCGTTGGTACCAACTTGTTCACAGCTCATGGATGAAAGGTAAAACCTAATTAACGTTTCTCCTTACCTCTGTCCTGTTATTTGAAGGAATGATTGCCATAATTTGTGGCGGTGTTAAAGGTACAATTTTGTGAAGAAGTTGTGGCCTCTTATCGTCTTCGTTTGAAGTAATAAGAATGCAGGCGTAATTTCCAAAATCGTTGCTCGATGTCACGTTCACTTCCAAAGTGTTATTGGGAAACTCCATGAGATTGGTCGACCTGCTGACCGCTATATGACCTTGGAAGATGAGTGATCCGTCTTTTTGCCAAACAATGACAACGTCTGAAAATTGAAATATTTCATTATCATACCTGAAACTCACATTGACGCGAGTATTTCGAAAGTCATTAGTCATTATTATTGATTTCATGTAGGGTATCTGATAAGAAATATTCTCTAGGTGGGTTCACACTAATATTTTCATTATTTTTTGATGATACACCTCAGCAGGTAACATTTAAATGAGTTGTTGAATATGTTCATGATACAAAGTATCCAGCTGATAACCTCGAGGAACACCAATTCAAACTGAGAATAATATCTGTGTTGCAAGAAGAAGAAGAAAAAAGAAAAATAATCGATCTAAAAAAAACTGCTTTATGTCTATCAGGAATTCAACATATTATTTAGGGTTAGACGTTTACTCAAATATGAACAAAGAAACAAATAAAGAGGCAATAAGTCACGAATTACAAGGATAAATGAGGCTTTCAACGATTGACTCTTGCAAAACCAAGTCTAGCCCTTGACCACAGAAAGAGAAATCGTTTTCTGTTTCTCTAAACAGACAGATATACGATATCTGTATCTGCATCTGTATAGTAGGGAAGGTGAGTGTTAGCCCAAAGCACTTAGGCCACATGTGACCCATTGTACATTTTCCCGAGGAGTTGTCCTCCTAGGTCATCGTCTATCCTGTCCTTTTCGGGAAGGTGGACAGGTCACTAGGATACATCTCCTTTATACCGGCAGGTGTAGGCCAAGACTCGCCGAACACACACTCTCTTATTGACGATAACTCCGGGCACTCGCATAGGGCATGCCTGACAGTTTCATCTCCCTGTTCACACATTCTGCATAGAGGTGTGTCCACTAGCCCCATATTTTGGACAGTTGTCAGAGGCCAGTCAGAAATCCTACTGTTATGCGTAGATTTTTCCTGGTCATCGCCAGATATTTCTTCGGCGCCAGCTTCAAAGGAACGCCCAAGGTGATCTTGGCGAAATTGCATCCTTTGATTCCATCCCATCTCTTTAGGGGTTGAGCATGGGTGTAACATTTGGCTAGTTCCGCAATTGTTGAAGTCATCAGGCCGTAGGGGCCACTGGGTCCTAAAATTCTTAGCCCAGCCGCTTTCTTGGTAAAAAGTCGGCAATGCTATTACCTTTACTCCTGTCGTGCCCTTTAACCACCTCGGGATAATGCTAGCATCTACCGAGGCTTTGGCTAAATCTTGGTGACACTCTAGTACTGTGTAACCCTGAGGTTACACGTTGTCTTTTCAAGGCTAATAGGGCTTGTCGGCTCTCAGTGCAGATTGTTATGTTTTTGTCAGAAATTTCTTTCCTGGTAATTTCTTTTGTGACGATTTAGATACTAGCTAGTTCTGTTTAGACCACCCTGGTATTTTTTCCCATTCCCCACTTAATCCTTAGGCTTAGTGATCTGGAGTATACTCCACTTATATCACACACACTTATATCGAGTTTTATGATGATAATTTGAATGCATCAAAATATGAAGATTTACTGAGGAATGGAATTCAAACATTTGAAAAATCAAAGAAGCCGCTACTTTATAGTAGAAGCGACTACGCCGCTTCGTGTGAAATATTTTAGGCGTGTAGGTCATATTGACTTATGCATACTGTGGAATTTTCAGGTTGATCTGTTGAATAGTTTGCCAGAAACGGCTAATTAACGCTCATCATGAAAAGCCCTGTATGCGTATTGCATTTGTAGCATCTGACTCTGTGATCTATTTTATTTGTATTTTGTATGGTTGATTAAACACAAACCTGGGTTCAATTACATCACCTCAATTGACTCATTCCTACTTCGAGGTTTACACCAGCCGTGCACAATCGTATCATGGCTATTAACGTAATCTCCTCAACGTAAAGGTCCAGAGTCATTGAGGAATTCTCTAACCGAATAATATGCTTTTGTCAACCTCATTTTTTAATTGTTTGTTAGTACTTTCTGAAACTCATGCTCTGTATGCTGCTCGGTAGTTTGTTAAAAAACTTAGCTCCAACATATCCTGGACTTTTTTCAAGATTTGTTAATTTATGTTGAGTTACGCTCAATTCATTTGCAGTTCTTGTTGGATAATTATGAAAGGATGAGTTTCTCTTGAATGAATGTATGTTTTCTTTTACATAACTTAATGTTTCATAGATATATATGCAAGGAAAAGCCAAAATTTCATTGTCAATTATTACAGTCTTGCAGCTATCTTCGGATTTCATACTGAACATAAGCCTGAGGATGCGTTTTTGGCAGACAAAAATTCTTTCAGCATTAGTGCAATCTCCCCATAGAATGACGTATGTGAGGTGGCAGTCCAAGAGAACGGTTTTGTCCATTGTTTTTTTAGTTTCAGTATAGCAAAGAATTCAGAATCATTTTTTTTGTATGAGTTGAAGATGGTTGTTCCATGATATATATTGATCTAGGTGGAGTCCTAAGGATTTGGTTGGGACTGTTTCTTCTGCACTTAAATTGAATATATACAGTTTTTTAATGTTCACTATCAAATTATCAACATTGCATCATTTTCTGAAAGAGTTTATGATTTCATTTACAGTATTTTCCAGTTCCTTCAGGGTCTGTGCAGGGTCAGCCCACCACCGAAGTATCGTCTGCAAACATTGTGACTTGTCCATTCGTGATATGGTCGGGCATATCATTGACGAATATTCAGAAGAGTAGTGGTCCCAACACTGACCACTGCGGAACCCCGATATCCACGAAGCAGGTTTCAAAACATTAATTTTTTATTTGTACATACGCCTTTCTTTCATTAAGGTATGACTTCATTACTTCAAGAATTTTTCCTGTTATTCCATTTCTTTATAATTTATTTAGAATAAAATTTATTTGTAGGCTGTCAAATGCACACGAGAGATCAAAGAAAATGCCAGCATCGAAATTGCCTGCATCAATATTATAATAGACACATTCCATGAATTCAATTGTTGCACTTTTAGTTGATCTCCCTGCGCGGAATCCATGTTGTCGAGATGAGATAATCTTTTTCCTTTCCAGAAAGTCGACAATTCTTTCATAATAGGTAGGATCAAAAATTTTAGAAATAACGTTTAAGATTGTCACCTGTCTACAGTTGTCCGGTGAAGTACGTTCGTTTTTTTATGAATAGGTATCACTTTACCCATTTTTAAGTGGGACGTGAATACGCCTGTGTCGAATGTCAATTTGATCAGGTATGCCAGAGGTTCAGCAAAAGTTTCTTTTAGAGTTTTTAGTATTTTCACACTTATTTTGTCATTACCTACGCTCTTTTTGTTTTTCAGCTTGGAAATAGCTGAGACCACTAACATAATAGAAATAGAAACTTTCGCTGATACTTTTTGTAGGCAGTGTACATTCTGTTGATTTACCTTCACCGAATTTCTTGTCTAGTTTTTCCTTCGTTATATTGGAGAAATGAAAAGCAAAACTTACTGTTACTTCTTTCACTTGATCAACATTTGCGTCATTGATTTTCAAAGTAATATTTGATTTGCTTTTGCTCCTACCTATTTCATTATTCAAAATTGGTAATGGACTGGAAAAAAAATATAAACTTCTTAAGATAAGACAACATATGTATCTTTTATCTAAGAATGAGATCCTGTGAAAATGCTGACAGCAAAGGCGTGAAATATATATGAAAATTCACAAACCTGGGTTTGAAACATCGCACGGTAACCGTACAACATCTCCAATTTTCGCAATCACCACTTGAGCCTGCGTCAGAAATTCCACCGTTTCCTCTTCTACAGGTCTCAGAGTGTCATTCGTTTCATCAGGAGGCCCTTGTCCATCTTCAGAATCTTCGTAATCACCGTATTCGTCGTTTTGTACATCGTCGTCTACTAGAGCCCCGTAAGTGTCCTCTATGTTTTGAGATTTTGCCCTCCCTGAAAAAAAGTAAAACAAAAATGAAACAACGATAACATTATGAAATGAAGATGTATTAGGTTAGGATTGACCCCTTTTACGAATCACCCGTTTATCTGTACCTATAATTCATGGACCATTTGTTCTGTATCTGTTGTAATTTAATTTCTCTCTTTATCATCTAAAACACTTAACCAAGAATAATTGAAATGGAATTTTTTAATGGCTCCATACAAATTAGAATAGTTCTTATCTTATATCGATTCCAGGAAATTTGTTTCCCAACCCGTCTCATAATCATCACAGCCATAGGAATTACCACAATAAACATGTCATTAGATTCGTTATTTATATGTATTCAGTTTTCATAGCGTCAAAAAACTTCCTGAGAGTGCATCTCTTGAATAAGCAATTAGGGGCTCCCTTTCATGTGAATCGCTATAAATAATAATGCGTCATAGTACGACCCTTACTTTTTCAGCTGCGGTAAGAAATAATAGGAAAATAGTTTGTGGAAGGAACGGAATAAAAAAAACATACCTGCTGCCAAAGTATTAATCAAAAGGCCAACGAAATGCCATGTCACTTAACCTATGGCGCTTATTCAGGATTCTGTTGAGGTGACAGCAGGGGTGTATACAAATTTAAACGACTCATTATGTAGAATGATACTTTTTTCACTCGTATTTATTTCCATTCTTTGTGTTGGTTTGTTTGGTTATCAATGATAGATAATTATTTTATATTCCCACTAATAATTTTTTGAGTCACAAAAAAAGCTTTCGTGGTGACTAGAAAAGTTTGGGGTTGTTATTTTACCCACAAGTATTTATCAGACGTGGCATTTTGAAATATTATTCAGTTTAGTTTGTTGATTTTCTGTATACTTGAGTTAGGGTAGAATGTTTTTATTACAACCCTTATATTTAAAATATGTACATAAGAAAATGGTTAGTCGATGTAGCAGTTCTGGGAAAATACAGTAATTCAACAGACTACATTCTGTTTTCAAATAGTAGAAAGTAATAAATGCTCATTATGAATGCAAAATGAATCAATCAATTCAATCAATCAATTAATCAATTTATTCAATTCAGATACATATTCTAGTCTTTAGTAGATGTTGGTATATCTTTAATAATAATTACAGTAAATTAAAAAAAATAACAATAAATGAGTGCTGGTGTTCAGTTCTTAGGAAACGCCTAATATAAGCAAAGCTTGTGTTGCGTATTTTCCCAGATCTGAACATAACCATGAATGTAAGTGAGAAAAAAATACCATTCAGCCCTTTTAGTAAGAAATAAAAATTTATAATAAAAAAAATTAATAGAAAGCAATGATCAACCCGAAGAAGGATTGAACCAGACAATAAGGCGAATAGGAGGCAGGTCTAAGTGAGATAAAAAAAAAGCCGACATGATTCAGTGAGTTGATTCCAATATTTTTTTTTAATGAATCAAAGTTGTGATCTACGAAGGATCTAATTATTTTTTAACGTTCATTAATATTTTTTATGTTTCTTAGTTCAATGGGAACTTGATTGACAAGTTTTGGTCCAAAGTAAGTATATACATTTTCATAAAAAGAAACATTAATTGTTCTCTCGGATTTGGCTCGGATGTCGTGTATGTGTGTCAGAAATGTGAGAGGCGAGTTCAACATCCATAGTACCCAGTGATAGGTGTATAATTTTCTGATATTAAATGAACTAGCCTCCAAATATAAGCTATCAGTTGGATGTCTTCTATTTTTCTGAAATACTATTTTAAGCAATGTGTTTTTTGTATCACTTGAAGATTATGTAAGTGTGTTTCATTTAACCCACCCCAAACAATAATACCTTATAGATTCAGCTAATGCATCGTATGTCATCAGTAATAAATGTTTATTTAGTATGTTTCTGAGTTGGTAGAATTTGAGTCTTGTCACAAGAAAATCTACATGTTTGTCCCAGCGTACATGTTGGTCAAATATCACAACCAGATATTTCATTGTATCTGTTTTCTTGTATGTTGACAAGAACAAATTATAGGAGTTTGGCAATTGGGGGTATGTATGAAAATGTTTTCCTCTAGTGGTTGATGAAAAGGTTAGGAATTTTGTTTTGTCAACGTTTAGACCCAAGAGACTAAAATTCAGCCACGAGAATATAATGTTCAATCCATTTTGCCATAGAAAATCAATGCCGTATTATCGGCAAATGAAACTATATCATCAGCAAAGTTCTTCAGATTGTAAATGCTGTTGATATATATTAGGAATAGAATTGGACCCATGACAGTGCCCTGGGGGATACCCATGGCGACTGGTTGTGTCTGGCTGTAAGTGTCCCTTATTTTGACCCTTTGGGTTCGGTCTTGTAAATAATCAGCTAATAGTTCTAGAGACTTACCCCTCACTCCCACATTTCCTAACCTCTCTAACAAAATATCATGATTGACAGTTTCGAAGGCTTTGGCCAAGTCTAGGAACACCGCAAGACATTTTTTCTTTTCGTTAGCTTTATTCAGTTTTTTATTCACCAAGTGAAAAACGGTGTTTTCGGTTGACATATTTTCTCTGAATCCATATTGGCAAGGTGATAGAATCTGATGTTTTTTCAGAAAATTTACAAGTCTAGCGAAGTTATTAATTACCGATATAGGTCTATAGTTTGTTCCGGATTTGAGAATAGGCGTTGTGATGGCTTCTTTGAAATTATCTGCAATCATGCCATATACAAAACATTGGTTAAATATATGACATAGGGGATCAAGAAAGTATTGGCGACATTTTTTTATCGAATAAACAGGTACTCTATCAGGGCTAGCAGAAGTATTGTTTTTTAAACTAGAAATCAGAGTTATTAGTTCATTGCGTATTACTGGATGGAGAAATAGAGACTCTTGGATATTTATTTGCTATTCGGGGATGGAGTATAGTCCCAACATCAAACCGTTATTTTGAACACGTGTTTCAATCACCCGTCTAATCTCCCTCTCGAAGATGATCACTTGGTTATTGAAACACGTGTCCAGGTTTTAAAAATAACGGTTTGGTGTTGGGAAAAAAAACTCCAGTAATATTCATTACTACACCAAAGGTTCCAAATAGTGCATTACAATTGCTAACAGAGCAATCAAACACAATTTTTTACTTTCGTTATGTTTTGCCACTGCAGATGTAGGCCGGATTATAATACTATACATAAAAACGCCTGAAGAAGCTACTGTGAAGCGAAACATGTGTTGGGTTTTTGTGAAACTGTTTCAGTGAAAATCTCATAATTTCTCGAGTACCATTTATAATCGCCATTCATTATTACCATCAGTTATTACCACTTAATCAATGATATATATCAGGTAATTACAAATGACATTCCTATTGTTGTGCGAATATTATAAAGGATATTTTTGACAGATTAGATTATTCAGCAAAGCCAAAATATGAAAATCCATTCATCACAATTATATCCTCATGGCGTGGCTGAAATAAAATTCATTAAGTTCAACTAGAAAGCATGTGGTTCGCATATTGCTTGGTAATCAGACATTCATGATGTATTGTTTTTATACAACATGGTGTAATAGTGCCGCTTTTATTATTAGTTCTGAGAGCTGAATTTAAGATTAAACTTAAACTACATTTGCGAAAATTGGACTCTAGTAAGACCTTGGAATTGTTCATTTGAAAAATATCATTTGTCTTGCAAAAAATGACTCAGTTTATATGAGAAACATCATACACGAATATCATTTTTCAACAGTGTTTCCATGTGTTCAAAAGTGGATTTGATTCGAAGGTTATACACTAACAAACATACTGCATATTTTGTTTTAGGTCTTGATTGCATGTTTATTTCTATTCTTCTGGATCTTTATGCAGGTTTCATTACTAAGTGGTATATGCTGAAGTATTTAACGTATATTGATTGCCAAATAATCCAGATATTGAAACTTATTAAAACACCTGTAGAAGAAGTAATAGAATAGACTAGTTTTGGTAACAATATTCAATCAGAACAAGCAACGATGACGACAAAATGAAAGTTCTTTGGGGCAACATAATAACAGTTGTTCCCTCCCATGGCTCTAACGATAGCCTGCATCCTCCTGGGCCTACTACGCAAAAGGTCTTTGACTCTTGCTTGTGGAATTCGACATTCTTTCTGTGCAGCAATTCTTAAGTCTGCAATTGAGTTCGAAGCTGGATTTCGTGCTCGTATATATCTTTTTATGATGTCCCAAGTTGTTCTATGGGATTTGCGTCAGGAGTGTTTGGTGGTCACTCAACTGCATCAAGTTCAACAACTTCAAGATACTGGGTGACAGTTTTTGCAGCATATGCACCAGCATTGCAACCTTACTTGACCAATGACCAACAGTTGTTTGAATAGAAGTGTAAGAATATAGTTCACAGAAGAAATCAACTTCGGAGGAAGATATTACAACTTACTTCTCCTGAAGGGTATAAATACTTTAAAATACTAATATTACGAAAGGAAAATTGAATGAGGGTCATATTGATTCCAACTTGTTGAAAATGCTGAAGTTTCTAAGTATTTCAGCTGTTGTATTTCTTCTTCTTAATTTTGGTCCCAGCTTCCGGATTTGGCGCTACTATGACCAGTGCTCTTTTTATTTGAGTGACAACTATAATAAAAATTTTGTCCAGGGAGTACAAGAGTCTTGTTTTACACAATATTGTACTCTCTTATAAGAAACTATCGTCTTCTTCATAAAAGATGAATTGTTGCGATCCTACTCACAAGTGGATATCCGGCCTTCAACCGGCGTGAATGGGAGTAGGTGGTCATCATGTGGTCATCCGGTCCACCACAGCCCCCAAATGGCGTGAATAAGAATACTATTTATTTTAAAACACTTGAATAATTTTTATTAACACTATTTTTTAATTAACTATTGATGCTGGCACGTTATAAAAAGGCGGATATTCACAACAAGACATGAGTTCCATCTCTAACAATGGCGTCCGCGTACCTTCTTTGTGGACAGTCGTTATCGGCTCGTCCATGCACCACCATATCAGAAACAAAACTCAGCTGTTGTGTTTTTAAGTTACGCATGAAGAAAAAAGTAATACATAGTTTGATATTTCCTCTGTGTATACGTCTTCATGTTTCTTCTTATTTCTGTCGTTCTACAAAATTAACAAACCGTTATAGGCTGCTGTTCATTAACTACTAATACACTGATTTAAAACTATTTTCGTACGTATTCATTCCAAGTTCACTCAGGGCAATTATGTATTCAAATAACAGGTTTGCACTTGGTTAATTGCAAAATGATACAGTACGTAGCAGTAACACTTTTTGTTCAACACATCTACATAATAATATGGTAGTTGATTGAATTCGCTTATCGATTACCTCAAATTGCTGTATTTTCTCGAGCAATCAAAGTTTGCTGAATCATAAGTAGATATCACCAAGTTCTTCGTCATATGAGGTTGCCTGTGCCTGAAAATTACTCACTTGAGAGTAGCAGTTCAAACATTCTTGAGACTAATAGTACTTAGTAGCCCAGGAATTCTATCTGAAATAAATTACTTCTTCCTGATAATTCGGCGCACATTAAACATTTTCTTCTCTGGACCGCTAGATATCTTGGCTCCAAAAATAATTTACTGAAGAGACACTTGTTTTAAAAATAGAACGAACAGATGAGAATTGAAAATATACTGCTTCCTCCTTAAGTATTATTTATTTTTAGAGTTGTTCTCTTATTGAAAGGCTGAGGTTGAAAATATGTTTTCACAGATGGAAGAGTTTCACGAAAGATCCAATATCTTCATGGCTGAGTGGAAATATATGGAAATGTAATGCGGATATACTGAAATAATTGACTTCTTGTAGTAAACGTTATGGCGAATCGTGAATGAAAAACTTGTTCGCACGTATTTTTTGTTTCGTTTAGAATATCTGTCAAATTCTTATATATCATAATTCAATTCTCAAAGCTATCCATTACTTAGTGCCGTCGGCATATTTTTTTGGTAACTGTATTAAGTAAATTTGAAGTAGATTACTAGCTGTTGTCCGCTCTTATATTGAGGTACAGCCGAAGCTACTGAACCTAGATTCTTGAAATATGCAGGTAGGCTCTTTGTATAGCGTAAATGAGCATCAAGTTAGGGAATTTAAAATGTTCTGTCACGAAACTTAACGTGACAAACCAAATGCTTCGCGGGCGAAGCCGCGGATAACAACGCAACCAGTGAAGGTAGAAAATATATAATTTATTGAGTGACTTTTATAATAGACTTTATGCAAATATGATTTTATAGTAATGGCATTTGTTGACTGTCCTTGTGTATATATTTGTTCTATATTCACGTCGATATTGCGTAAGTGTATATTATTAAAACAGACCTTATCGTATGTTTGATTAAACTCAACTATAGGAACCAAACTAAATACACTTTTCCATAAAAAAATGAATAAAACATATGAATGAATAAATATATTGACCGTTGAGAGTCTTACCTCAAATGAAATCGTGTTTGTATCTAAGACCCTCTACTGAATTTTTACCTGAGTTGAAAAGGAAGGTGTTCGGTTCCAGCAAATTGAACGTGTGAGTTTTGAAAGTATAAGCCGCGAAGCCTGATGCCAATGTCTAAAGCTCTTGCTTCAGCTGTAGTTTCCAGAAATTTCACATCATACTAAAAATGTATGTTTACCATCTTATAATATAATTTACATGTGGAGTGCTTTTAGAAATATACTGAAGTAACAATTCAATCCGGAATGATGTAATCAGAAGGTCTGGATTGGAGTAAATTATTGAAAGACCATTCGCAAACAAACGCGCAAGTACGTTTTCAGTACGTATTACTGCCATTTGTACATACAACTCTGGATTTTGAATGATGTTTACAAGACCAATTTTAATCAAATCTGCACACCGTGTGCAGTTTGATGCAACTTGAAAGATAGGATAACTCATATCTAAATTTATAGTCGCAATATTATTTTATTGCAAATTATTCGTTTATTATTGGACATTCAGGACATTCAACAATTATCTGTTAACTCCAAATTATTTCAACAGATGGCGATATCTGTTGACTGGATTGAGTAACTAAGCAATAGATGGCGCTGCTATGTTAAACCTACAAACGTGTCATACAAGCAACAGCAATCTCAGATGGAATCAGCACATAGACCACCACATAGTTAAAAAATTATGTTGCATATTTTACAAATTCAAACGGATAGTAAACATACTCAATCAAAAACAGAAAATTATGTTATATAAGAGTTTAGTAGAGCCCCATCTGAGATTTGGTATAATTGGTTGGGGTGGAGCGTCGAAAACTCATCTACATTCTCTTGAGGTTATGAAGAAAATATTTATCAGATGTATTCTACGGAAAGGTTACGACTACCCTAGCGATCTACTTTATTTAGAATCTGGAATATTTGATCCCAGACAAATATTTTTTTAAATATTATTGCTGTACAGCATAAAAACAAAAACCATAAATATGCTACATGTCGGAATCATAGTATCGTCATACCATTAATGCTCAAATCAGTTGGGCAGAAATCTTACCGGTATTTATGACCAAAACTCTACAGTTTTCTTCCTGAAAATTCAAGATGCGAAACAAATCTCAAAAAATTTTTGACAAAGATTAAATTATTTGTCAAGAATACACCACGAGCAGAGATACATAGACAAATATATTGAAATACTTCCACGATTGTGTATTAATTTGTTTGTAGTCTGGAACCCTTATGATTAGAATGTTTATATCCATTGATTGTTTAATTTATTTATATTCTGTTCAAATGTGTCCAGTTCAAACTCATGTTTTTATTTATACTTAGTACCTATTCAATACATTAGTTTATTTTCAATTCTTCATCTATATCTAGTACTTATTCCAATAGATTGATTGGTTTTATTTATTTATATTCTGTTTAAATGTAGCTATTTTAAATTTATATCTTAGTACTTAATTTAATGCATGTGTCTCATTCAATGTCAGATTCAGTATTCTCATTCCTTACACACATGCAGATCATCTTGCCTCGTAAGATGTATTTTATTTGTTCACTGTTCATTTCTATATGTACATGTATATTTAATGTAAATAATCATGAGAAAGTGAACAAATACGTATTATTATTTCTTAGCTCTTTTGTTAATCAAAATTATTGAATACGACAAGTTACTCAAGAATAAAAGTTACGCGGTGAACTAAAAAGTTTGTCTCTTCCACACGTGTATCAAGTTCTCCATTGCAATTTTCATATTGACGAAGGTAAAAATATTTTAAATATTGATATGTACAGATGTGCTTGCCGTTAATACTTTGGAGGCTATTTTCATCATGCTGTGTTTACAAAATGTAGCCCAAATATCAATTCGTTATATCTGAAAAAACATTACAACTCTGATTTGATGGCATTATTAGAATTTATTAGGTTGCAAACAACTATCAATTGAGGGTAGACTTGATCATCTTATTTCTTTCATCTCAGCTCGAAGAGACATGTCACAGTAACCGACTAAGAACATCTCATAAATACATTCTCGGATGAAAAATATAACACAATGGTATCGTTGTTTGTCGTTCGTGTAATAGATGAATCCATTACCATCAATCATTAAACAAATACATTGAACAAACAAATATGATTTGTTGTGCCAGTTTCACTCATTGCACAATACTTGTAGATGCATAACGCTTAAGAGTGATGGATATAATTGGCCTATTTAGAGTATAAACATCGGCAGGGTATTTCCTCAATTCGTTGAAATTTTTGTTGGATGTTGATAACGTTACGTTGTACGTTGACCACCATTACAATATTTTTATGGAAATTATGTAGCTCCACAGGTCAAGGTACCTTTATCTCTGATAAGTTTGTAGGTAGCTGACAGGTGTTATTAAATTGTCACGAATGGATAAGTTATTGAGAAATGAAAAATGTAAAACTGACAGGTTTATTTACAATGGATTTTTCCGGAAGAAAAACAGTGAGATTAGATTTTCAAGGTACGTTTATATAATGTGTGGTCCACTAAGTGTGCAACAAATGGGAAACTTTTTCATTATCGATTTCTCAGAAAATTTTATTCTTGAGAAAAGTTGGTGCATGTTCCAAAACTATACCAAGTGTACCTAAAATGTCTTAATGATAAACACCATACAGGATAGGCCAAATAATATAAAGTTCGTTCAAGAGTAAAGTACCCTTATTTCAAAAAATATAGAAATATGTTGAGAAGAAAAGTTGCTTAGAATTAAAAGTTATGTTCAGATACGAAGTCATGGCCTGCTATTCGATTTTTTTCTTTTGGAAAATTTTGAATTACCCCCGTATGATACATATTTTTACTATTTTTATTTAATATGTATTTGAAGTAGCCACAATCGATTCAGTTTGGAGTATTTTTTATCAAATTAAAGTGTATTTGTAAAATTTACTTGGATTTGTATTTTTTTAGGTGACCGTCAACTTCATGTTTGTTGCAACGATATTTAACAGAACTGTAGAATAAAACAAATACTCTTTTTAACGAGGCAAATACTTTACCAAGTATAATGTTCATATGAATGAACTGTTAAAATCTATCGCGGATAGCCATGAACAAAAAATAACCAATAAGCGATAGTACAGAAAAATACAGTAGGTAACTTAACAACTTAACATGTGCTAACATAAAAATTATCGAAGCGCCTCTGAAATCGATAATAAGAAAGTTTCCCATTTGTTGCACACTTAGTGGACTACACTGTATGCTGGGTATATATGTTTTGTCAGTATTTCGATGGTGTTTTCAAATTGTAACGAGTTTCGAGGCCTGAAGAAGAATTTAATTGAATTCGAAACGTTCGGCAAAAAACAATTGTTTTTTCAAAGAAGAAATTGACCCTTTACCCTACCAACCTTTTTTTCAGAACCATTATTTAAACTTATTAAATATCAAAATTGAGAAATTAAAAAATTGAAGCATCTACTGGATAGATGAATGAACAACAATCCGCGGTCAAGAAGTTTCTATCGTGATTTT